CATTTCCAGTTTATAATGCTTTAATTTTGCCTCATTCATCATGCTGCCATTTCAGACGCAGCCACAGCTCTGCGTTACAGGCCCCTCCCCCTCCTTCAGCTCATCCCGTCTCCTCTGTGTTCAGTGCTGAGGGCCTCGCTCGGGAAACATGGAAACGGTGAGACAGCGGGCGAACAGAGTGCGAGAAGAGCACAGAGAGAGAATACGCAATGGAAATGACGGGAGTCAGGGGATGGGAGACTGAGGGAAAGGGATTGTAGAGAGATGGAGCCTGTCATGGTGTCCGATTTATGAGGGAAGCTCTTTCTCCTCTCTGCCCATGAACCTTACGTGTTTGACTAAAGAGCCCCCCCCTCCCGTATAGCCGTTTCAGACAAGCTGCTGTGGGTGCTGTCCGTCTCCTGCTGCTGAGCTGTGATTGGCCAGCATCAGCAGTTCTCTCTCTTGCTGAGTGGTGAATGGGAGGAGTCTCGTTCCTTTTCGCGCTCTCTGTCCCCAGTACACACTGCAGCTCTACTATGAACTGAAGGTCCTCTCTTTCATTCGATTCCTCCTTTCGGATAATATATTTTTCCAGCACAGGGACCATTTCTGCCTTTGCGTGTTTGGGAATCTGAAGATGGATTTTAGTGCTTTATGGATAACATGGCGCGGTGAATTTTTCTGGACCTGTCAAGGAATGGACAGACAGCACACGCTTACTTCATTCTAACCCTCTCTCCTCCTCTCCCCTCCATCCTGCTCCCTCTCTCCCTCTCCTCTCCTCCTCTCCCTCCATATTGTGTGCAATTGTTCCCCCTCTCTCCTGCCTCACTCCCCCTCTCTCCTGTACTCCCCTCCATCCTGCTCCCCCTCTCCTCATCCCCTCCTCTCCATACTGCTCCCTCTGTCTCTCCCCCCCTCTCCCCTCTCCTCTCCCCAGCTCCTGAGGATGTACTGAGGCATACACAGGTGCTGATCAGAGCGGGTTGTTTTTGTCTCTAGTGTGAGGTTCTCTCGCTGGGTCCACACTGTGGCTGACTGGAGGTTATTCTCTTGTAGCCTTGCGGCGGCAGGTGTGGGGTTTATCTTGGTCATTGATCGCCGGCAGGACAAATGGACGTCCGTGAAGGGAACCCTGCTGCGTATCGCGGTGAGTCTCCTGCGCGTGTGTGTATGTGTGTGTGCGCGCGTGTGTGTATGTGTGTGTGTGTGTGTGTGTGTGTGTGTGTGAGTGTGTGTGTGTGTGTGTGTGTGTGTGTGTGTGTGTGTGTGTGTGCGTGTGTGTGTGTGTGTGTGTGTGTGTGTGTATGTGTGTGTGTATGTGTGTGTGTGTGTGTGTGTGTGTGTGTGTGTGTGTGTGTGTGCGTGTATGTGTGTGTGTATGTGTGTGTGTGTGCGTGTGTGTGCGTGTGTGCGTGTGTGTGTGTGTGTGTGTGTGTGTGTGTGTGTGTGTGTGTGTGGATTTTTGTATCTGCTTATGCTCTCAGGTAACAGAACACAGAGATGCATGGTGAGGGCATCTCCTGGCACCATTTCTGTCTTTCCCTTTACCTCCTTTGTTACCATTTAAAGCTCTATTAATGCTGCCTAATTCTTGTTGCATTGCAGTTGCCCTGTGCTACTGTAGGGCCTACTGATCCTATGACATGTAAATGATATTCATCTTTTTCTTTTTTGTCTATGAAGTGCAGTTAAAGTGCTACAACCACTGAATTCGGCTCGATCAACAAATGTGTGCGTCTGGTGAATATGTACTGTTTCTGCCCTAATTAAATTGAGTGCAGCTGGGATAGTATTCATTTGGACTCACACTTGCACAGGTGTTATTTTTAACTGCATATATTTTCTGTCATCAATGACATATTACATTGAGTAATGATGACTTTGTTTGTATAATTTACATCCTAAGTGGAATCTTGAAGACTGTATTATGATATTTCAGCACCATCCTCCTTTGGACAGCTCCTTTGAATCCATATGCCCTCAATCCCTGGGGACATTGCCCTGCTGAGTCCAATTTAATTAAATTTTGAGGCAGTTGACCTGACCCCCACTGTAGGGGGCGGGGGCTGGGGTTAGGGTTGAGGATCATAACCGCCAAATACTTAGCTGATCTATCTGAAGTAGATCTGTATTTCTGTTCTCCAGTCTATTGAATTCCTCTTCATGGAATTCCCTGTATTTGTGCTCCAATAACTTGTCTTTGCTCTGTCAGGCTGTGAGACGGGTCATGTGCAGTTTTACTCAGCAGGACTGAGTTCTATGTCAGGGCCTCAAACACTGCACTGCGCTGTGCAATTCACATCCTGGAGAATGACCCCGCAGTAATGCTTATATTGGAACAGAATGGGAACTTCAGTTAGTCCTCAAACACCAATGGATCTTTGGGCACTGAGGTTGTAATTTCTTAAGCACAACTAAGGAATTGTTTTATGTCCTCTTTCTGACAAACCATATTGGTTATGTTGTCCACATGGCTTACAGCTGCGGTGAGTTTCCCAATAACGTTGGATCTCAGGATTAACGAGTGATTTAAAGAGATTCTTAAGCAACGGTCATTCTCTCGTTACGTGGGTCTCCCAAACACAATTGGTAGAAGGAGCCTAAAGAGGAACTTTGCAAAGAGCTTGTTCGCCAAGCGAACCAATCAACACTGAAATACAATGTTTTTAAGACAAATGCTGCCATTTTTGTCATTAAGAAAAAGTAATTACATGATCATTTTTAATTATTGTAGTTAAATGGATTAACTATTATCAAATTATCAATGTGACATTATCATGTGCAAATGAATTTAATACACTGTCATCCCAAATCAGTGCATAAAATACAAATATTTACCCTTGAAATAAGCAGTCTATTCGAAAGCTCAAGCATACTAGATGCTCTGTAATAAAGGACGGCTGCCAGAGGAATCTTGGAGTGGTTCTTAGTTAAGAGACAACTAAAGAGATGACTTAGTTATGAACATGTTTAGGAAACCCACGCTATTTTAAGAACGATCGTAAGAGTCATTTAAAGAGGTTTTTTGCATTAAGAGGCTTTCGGGAAACCCACCGCTGTATGGTACATTTTTCAGTTATTAGAAACTTTTTCATTATTTTTGCAAACATATTTTCCCAACAGAATTGCTTTAAATGTGCCAAAGACATTTGCACAGTACTGTACTTGAAAGTCACAGTATTGAGTCACATTTATTATATAGAACAAACACAGAGTTTTAATTAATTTCATTCAGCTGGGAGGATTTAGAATTGTATATAAGTCATATTTTATTATCCATTGCTTTTGCACTGGTTCCACAAGTCCATAAACTTGTGCAGTTTATTCTTTATGAGTATTTTATGTATGTATTATTATTTTTCTGTAGGTGTGTTTGTTCCGCTGGGTGTGTGTCTTTGTGTGTGCATATGTAATGTGTGAGGTTCAGGCATTTATTTTGTACAAACAAGCTGTTCCTGGCCCCTGAAGTGCAGAACTATTGCACCCAATCATTGCATGAAAACAATGTGTGTTTTCAACAGGAACCAAAAGCCAAAGAATCATGAATTTCAATGAGCAGTGACTTGTAATTAATCCAGTTTGATGTTTTATCTTGAAGGCCAGAATTTGCTGCATGATAAACGTGATGTGTCTGACTGAATATGATTAGCTGTTGTCATGTAGATTCTTAGTCAAAGGTCAGGGACTAGAGGGGTTTTGAGTGCAGACTAAAAAGGATATTTAAAATGGATCATTCAGAAGTTAGAAATTCTTGAATCCCAAATCAATTGGTGTTAATTGAATGCCACTGTTATAAACACGCACCTTTTTTGTCAGTTAATTTAACTGGTTCCTATTTTGGCAGTCATTTTAGCTGTAATTTTACAATCAGTTTATAACAGATGTTCCTTGTATGTTAACCCCTTAAACCCTAATGCCCCCGGTGCTGAGGGCGGTTGTTATGCATAATAAATACAGCATGTTTCCTAATCGCAACATCGTCATGCGGTTTATCCACTTTTAGCGAAGAAACTCAGCAAAAAGCTGAGTTGACCATTTTTACCTCAACCGAACACAATTCAAGCACCAAGCAAGTAAATAACCATGTAGCAAAACACAAGATAAAATCATATTAGCGCTGAGTTGCTAGCATTTCTACTGAATTTGTGCTATGCATGCAAACGATACCTCAAATGAAAGAGCAAAGTCCACAGAATCCAACGATATAAGCCTTGTCATTTGAAATCGACACCACACTCAAAGAACAACAGGCATACACTTTACAGTCTACAGAGATGAGCAAAAAAAATTACTTACCTTTGATATGTTGAAATAAAAAACTGTTTGAGGGTAAATGCACGCTTGCTATTGTTAGCCCAATGTGTCCGTGTTATAACGAAACTAGATCTTCCAGTCTCCAGGCATGTTTTTTTTTTTCCGGGGCATTGCTTCAAAGAGCTCAGCTCCTTAGAATTCAGCTTGCTTGCAATATATTTTCCACTCTGTGATCGGCTTGTGATGCTGTCAGTAAGACCTTGCTGATAGCCATTTGATTTTATGCGTTTTCATGTTTCCAACTAGCCCTAAACCACCTTAATCGCACAAACCTAGCCTGAGCTAGTGCCTTGCGTTCCCAGTGCGTCAAACTGAATCCATTCGCCTGTACTTGAATAGCGCGTCAATATAAACACTTAACTGGTTTGTTTTTGGTGTTTTTCGTATAATTATCAGCTAAATATTCAACAGTCATTTTCAGAATCGTTTTCTGACAGTCTTTGAGCCATTCCGCATGAATACTAAGAGTACAACAGTACAGTATGTGTTTTCTTGACTCTCTTTATATTGGCAATTTGACCAGAAGATTACAGTCAGCTGATGTAGCCCAGTGGTTAGGGTGGAGCGCTGCTGATGTAGCCCAGTGGTTAGGGTGGAGCGCTGCTGATGTAGCCCAGTGGTTAGGGTGGAGCGATGCTGATGTAGCCCAGTGGTTAGGGTGGAGCGCTGCTGATGTAGCCCAGTGGTTAGGGTGGAGCGCTGCTGATGTAGCCCAGTGGTTAGGGTGGAGCGCTGCTGCCTGGACTGCCAGGGATCAAAACCTGGCACTGGCAACTGCTTACAAAGGCAATAAAGGCATGTTTCTTGTATAAATTATTGCTGGATTTTTTTTTTTTTTTTAATTTTTTTTACCATTTGTTTACATTACCTTTGTATTTATAATCTTATTTATTTGCTTTTTTCTTTAAATAAGTCTGCTCCAGTGGAGTCAAACTTCATTTCATGTATTATGTTTGAATAGGGAATTGTATAGGCTACAGGACTGGCAGAAATAATGATAATAATAATAATAAAATAATAATAATAATAATAATAAAATATTTATGCCTGTAGTGACATATAAGTGAAATTAAATGAGTTTTACAGTTTGACATCTGAGAAATATGAAACCGCGCACAGTGTCAGCTTGGAGAGGCCACCTAGACATTCCCGAACTAAAACCTCTCTAATTTTGCTCTGATTTACTTTAGTATAAACTTTGGCACAGATAATGGTGAGATTCTGTTCTGTAATTTTTAGGGGTTTCAAACTGCAACTGAATAATTTTATGACAGAAAAAGTAAAAACTTTGTTTGGTGCAAAAAAAGATGTTTCATTTTGCAGTGTTCCATCTTCATTTACTCTGACTCAGTGACATATACACTGATTTTCGCACATGAAAAAAAAAAAATCCCCAAGGTGTTGCCTTTATTATGATACCAAGATTATTCAAATCGACCAATTCGTTGCAGAGATATAGTCTTTTAATTTTGGGCATGTCATTTTCAAGCCAGAGGCTCAGGGCATAAGGGGTTAACTGTCAATTACAGTTAAAAGCGCGCAAGGACTCTACTTACAGTTAAAATAACAAGGAGACTATGCGTTAATTTAACTGTTAAATTCAGTCAGTTTGTGACAGTGTTGGCAGAACAACATGCTTATTTCAGCGCCGACATCACTGAAGCTAGTTCTTGAACCCTATGGTTAACCGTGTTATAAGGCTCTTTAAATATTAATTCGGAAATTTAGCATTTTTACATTTGCAGTCTCCGTTTTCCTTCCGAATAAATTGCGTTCTGATCTTGAACAGAATTATGCTTAATTTTTATTGTGAGTGCGATTATCTTATAGCTATGGTTTTTAAAATGACGATCTTGTGTTTCTCTCAGTGGAAATAGCCTCATGTAAAAAAAATCATAGCACAGTATAACTTAGCTGTAACTACATTTAACCCGTGTGATAAAATTTTGGCTATTCTGGGGTAATGCTTCAAAATTAAATAAAGTGCGTTTACAGCCAAGGACCCGAAATTAGGGTCATATAAGAGACTGCTTCTAAAACTCTTGGTTAATTCTGGTATGAAGTTGTAGGCTCTGAGATGTGTTTTCTGAGGAAGTGGACTACTTCCTGTGCATCAGCTGATTTTGACGAGCTTTAGGATGTTAAACATACGCGATGACCTTCATTCAACTCCCTGTATGTATAGAATAGTTAGAGGCAGTCTGCTCCCCTCAAATCGCGCATTCTCCTCTCCAGGACCATCAGAGTGGGTCGTGCGTGTGTGGCATTGACCGCAATTAGCTCATGGTCTTGTCGACCACTTTGAAAACTCAGCGCGGTCGATATGGATACTATTGCTTATTAATAGGCTCAGTCTAGGCCTACTTTGCGGTTTTAGTGCGTGAGTGCCAGACATTTAGCTTCACTCAAAAGTAGGCTATTGAATAATTAACGCAATCCAGTTTACTTCCGAGGAATAGACTGTTTAAGTGTTTTCTAAATTCCTTCCTCTGTTATTTTTTCCGCTGGATATGAACTCAAAAAAAAAAAATAAAAAAAAAAAAATTAAGCCGCAACATCTGAATACCGCTTTCCACTGAGCTCGGTTTCCATGGCAACAGAGTAAGGATGCGTTGTGCGCTGGGAATATGACGCGAATAGACGGAGCAGGATGGATTTCAAACGTTGTCGGGGAAAATTTAAGCAATGATGTGGGCCTTGGAATGTCTTGATTGCATGACTAAATCATTGCACTGGTCTTGCAATAGCCTGCAGTGTCGATGGTCTGATTCGATGTCAGGTAGGCTCACATCAATTGTTCGGGTAGCCGACTACTTGTACGATAACACGCCGTTTTTATAATACTTGACAAATTAGGATATTTTGCGTTCGAGCGGGAAGCTGAAATCGTGCTTCACTGCCTGCAAGAGAATTCCGTTCGGTCGCGCGTCGGTTGCTGAGCGATTCCTGAGATGACTTGGCGGCAAGCTGTGGGCGCAAGGCTATTTTTAGCGCAGTTGTGTGGGCAAGTCCTCATGTGTTCAAAATTTTGTGCGCTAGCAATCTTAAACACCCTCAAATCCATTGCAGTAGACAGCACAGCCGTGTGATCAAGCCTAATTTTACAAGCACTTTGTGATTCTCATTGCGCTGGCACCGTCGTGAAAGACGAGGAAACTGGGCGGAACTGATGGTCAGTCCTGCTACAGAAGGTTGGGGCTTGCGTGAAGTCAGCCCTCAGTTGTCCCGCAGCTTTCTGTGCTGAAGAATGTCCTCTGAAAGCGGAGATTATTTGTGTACAATAGAACAAGCTATGTGTATAGAATGCCATTCGACTTCCTGCTTGTAAAACACACATACAAATCTAAAAACACGGGTTGATTGATGCTAGGGATTTTTTTTTTTTTGTCAGAACCTACAAGCTTAAATATAATTTGAACAGAGCAAAGTTATTACTCATGCAGATATGGTAGTGGTTTCATTCAGTATTTAAGTTGAAGATGGCAGAGTTTTTAATTTTATATTTAATGTGAGGATGACAAATAACAGATTTGTGAAAGTGCTAGAATGTGTTTATAAAGGTACGTTTTCATTTTAGGGTTGCTGTACTGATGTATGGTGTCTTGCCAATCATAGAGTACCTCATTGCACTTCGCAGCTCAAGGAATAAGCATGTTACTGCAGTACTGCAGAGACTCAGTGGGGCTTGGACTCTGATTGGTGGGCGATGGTAGTATCAGTGCTCTGATTGGCTGTTTCTCTGTCTCGTGCAGGGCTCATTCCCTGGAAACCTGCAGCTTGTTCTGGTGCTGCGTCCTGCTGCCCTACTCCAGCGCGCGCTGTCAGACATCTTCTTCAAGTTCAACAAAGATGAGTTCAAAATGAAGGTGCCGGTATGTAGCATAGATTGTACAGCAAATGTTCTACTCAGTCAGAAGCCACTGGCTAAATGAACTTTCATTCATGGAACTGTCCGCTTAGAATTGGTCTCAGCGCAAGCCAAAACCACTGAAGAAATTCACCTTTTTCCTAAAAAAAATATTCTTATGTTCGTATACATGGGTTCTTATTAAAGTTCTCCTTAGTGTCAGTGCGGTTGTGTCAAATTAATTAATAGTGTATTTGATAGAAGAAATGGGACAATCTGGAGTAATACAAGGGAAAAAGTATGAACAACATGGCTTCTATCATGCCGAAAAGAATAATTATTTGTAGATCTAATTGGGAGAAATTAGGTGTACATGGGTGTGGATCTTGGTGTTGTGCTGTAGCATTTAAACCAACAATGTATACATTTCTGTGATGTGCAGGGTAAAGTAAGGAGTATAAATCAACTTTATTATTATTATTATTATTTGCCTTTTACTTCATGCTATGATAGGTCGTAATAACCGGGCCCATCCTTGGGCCTAGGGTTAGAATGAGGTTGAAGTTAACTTGATGGATAGTGCCTTTCTTAGGGTGTTCCAAGCAGTGTGATCTTCTGCAGTTCTTGGATTTTGATGTCACCAGGGATCTTTTGGGTGTATTTGTCCATCCCTTTCTGTACAAGTCCCAAGGCCCCTATCACCACTGGTATTGTTGTGGCTTTCATTCCCCACATTCGTTCGATCTCGATTTCTAGGTCTTTGTATTTAGACAGCTTTTCGGTTACTTTTGCTGAGGTGTTCCTGTCAGTAGGGATGGCCATATCAATGAGTAGACAGCTTTTTTATTTTTTGTTCTTGATGATGATGTCTGGTCTATTGGCTCTTATCTCGCGATCTGTCTGTATTGGCATGTCCCACAAGATTGTAATGTCGTCTTTTTCTGACGCTGTTTGGGGCTCATGCTCGTACCATTTTTCTTTTTTGTTAATATTAAATTCTTTACAGATGTTCCAGTGCAGGCTATGTAGATATTCAGTCTTGGCCAGCTCAGGACATCCTGCCACAATATGGACAATGGTTTCCTGGAATTGACCACATATCCTGCACACTGGGTCTGTGCCATCTTTGAGGATTTTGTTCCGGTAGTAGTTGGTCTTGATAGCCTGGTCTTGGGCAGCGATGATAAAACCCTCTGTTTCAGATTTCAGCCCAGCTGTTTTGAACCATTGGTTGGTCATCTGTTGGTCTACATCTTTCTCACCTATTCTTATTATTATTACTATTATCATTATTATTATTATTGCTACTACTACTATGACTACAATTACTACTATTACTACTATTCCATCCATCCATCCATTTTCTCATGCTTATCCGGGGCAGAGTTGCGGGGGTAGCAGACTAATGAAAGTGGCCCGGTCATCCCCATCTGCAGCCACTTCCTCCAGCTCTACCTGGGGGACCCCAAGCCGTTCCCAGGCCAGCCGGGAGATATAATCCCTCCAGCGTGTCCTGGGTCTGCCGTGGGGCTCCTCCCAGTTGGACATGCCTGGAAAACCTCTAAAGGGAGGCATCCAGGAGGCATCCGGACTAGATGCCCGAACCACCTCAACTGACTCCTCTCAACGCGGAGGAGCAGCGGTTCTACTCTGAGTCTCTCCCGGATGTCCGAGCTCTTCATCCTATCCCTAAGGGTCAGCCCAGCCAACCTACGGAGAAAGCTAATTTTGGCCGCTTGTATTCGCAATGTTGTCCTTTTGGTCACTACTCAAAGTTCATGACCATAGGTGAGGGTTGCAGTGCAGATCGACCAGTAAATCGAAGGCTTTGCTTTTAAACTCGTTCGGCACCATGACAGACCAGTGCAACATCCGCATCACTGTAGACGCTGCACTGATCTGCCCATCAATCTCACGGTCCGTCCT